AGACCAAATTGGTTGCGTTTACCCCGTAATAGCTATCCACATCCAATACCGAATGTATAAGCTGTACGACCATGCCGGAGTCCGATCCCTTCATTTTCATGGACGATACAAGATTGTCTAATGCATCTGCTTCAGCATTCCCTTCCCTCAAGATGTGCGTAATTGACCATTCCCTGAACCGGGCGAGTAGAGCCTAGAATTTCACTACATATTGTTGCATGCATTCCTCTTTGGTTTCGAAGAACCCGTAGACCTGATTTACTATCAATTGGGAGTCGCATTTGATTTCTATGACCTTGTAGTCGAGTCCCCGGGCCAGCTCGAATCCTGCAATCAAAGCTTACTCTGCTTCATTCTTAGTCAGAGGAACAGTTCTTATGGCCTGCCTTAGGGTTTCTCCCGAGGGCATGGTTAGCAATATGCCGATCCCGGACCCCTTCACGTAGGAAACTCCGTCCTTGAACAAGGTCAAAACTCCCGATGTTGATTCTAACACCATCACTGCTTCTTTGGTAGCCAAAGGTAACAGTCACGGACTGAAATTGGCCACAAAATCGGCCAAAACTTGTGACTTAATCGCAGTCCTAGGTTTATATTCTATGTCAAATTCACTCATTTCGACTTCCCACTTGGCCAATCTACCTGAGAGTTCAGGTTTATGAATAATGTTCCGCGGGAGAAAAGTGATCACCACAGCCATCGGGTTACATTGGAAATAAGGCCTTAGCTTTCGAGAGGCGACTGCGAGGGCTAAAGCCAATTTTTCCAGATGTGGATAGTGAGTTTCTGCTCCCGTCAAAATTTTACTAACATAATAGATAGGGGATTGCATACCTTTGTCCTCATGGACTACACCGGCACTTAGTGCTACCTCCGAGACTGCAAAGTAGATCAGTAGTTATTTGCCTTCCTCCGGGTATAACGGTAATGGAGGACTTGACAAGTACCTTTTCAAATCCCTCAAAGCTTGCTGACATTCCGCAGTTCATTTGAAGCTGTTCTTATTTTTGAGTAGTGAAAAGAAATGACAGCATTTCTCCGAAGACCAAAAAATGAACCAGCTCAAAGCGGCCAGTCTCCCTATCAACCTTTGAACCACTTTCACGCTTGATAGCTGATCCTGGATGTCTTCGATGGCTTTAATCTTTTCGGGGTTGAACAAGATCCCCCTTTGTCACACCAGGAATCCCAGGTTCTTACCGGAGCTAACCCCGAACGCACAATTCTCGAGGTTAAGCTTCATGTTATGCTTCCTTAAGATGCCAAAGGTTTCTTGTAAGTGTTTAATATGACCACCTGCATTCAAAGACTTAGCCGGCATATAATCTATGTAAACCTCCATAGTGTTTCCTATTTTTTTCTCAAACATTTTGTTCACGAGCCTCTGATAAGTGGCTTCCGCGTTCTTAAGCCCGAAAGGCATCACATTGTAACAGTATGTGCGAAAGTTTGTTATGAACGACGGTTTTTCTAGATCTTCCGAGTTCATCTTGATTTGGTTATATCCAGAGTAAGCATCGAGGAAAATCACTAACTCATGCCCCATCATCACATTAATCATTTGATCGATATTTGGTAGTGGGAACGAGTCCTTTGGGCACGACTTATTTATTTCATAATAATCTACGCACATGCGAAACTTATTATTCTTCTTTGGAACAACTACTACATTAGCTAACTAGTCAGGATACTTTACCTCTAGGATTGAACCGGTATCAAGCAAATGAGTTACCTCTTCTTTGACGAACTTGTTTCTGACCTTGGCAACAGGACATTTTTTTGTCTTACCGGAGGGATGTTGGGGTCAAGACTTAGTTTATGCACGATTACTTCTGGTGGGATACCTGTCATATCCGTATTTGACCGCGCAAAACATTAAAAATTAAATTTAAGAAATTCAATAAATCATGACCTAAGCTCGGGGTTCAGTCATGTCCACAAGTGGAACTTCCACTCCAAGAACTTTTCGAATAATGTGACTTGTTCAAGTTCTTATGCTGTGGATTTTGTTGCGTCTGTTCTTCTGGTACCTGGAAGTATCTTGGTACCTGATAGGATTTCGACGACTTCTCCCCCCGGTTGACCTCGCTCGGCTCGGGAGCAGGCTCCGATTCCTGTAATTTCTATGCTGCATGCTCCTTCCCTTTGCTACTGAAATTGAGATTGCATTCACATCCCTTTCCGCCGGTTGGTCTCCTCTTATTTGTTTAATTCCTTCGGGAGTTGAGAATTTCAACAATTGGTGATATGTTGATGGTACATCCTTCATCTCGAGAAACCATGGCCTCTCTAGGATAATATTGTAACCCATATCGCCGTCCACTACCTCGAAAAGGATCGCCTTCATTACCCCCTTGGCATTCGTGGGCAGTAGGATCTCTCCCCAGGTTGTCACGCTTGCCAGATTGAACCTGACAAGATGTTTTGTGGCCGGAATGATACTTCTGGTGATATTATCTTGCTCCAGCGCTCTCCACTGAATAATATTCACCGAACTTCCTAGGTCCATCAAAACACATTTAATTTTAAAATCAAAGACATTTAGAGAGATTACTAGGGCGTCGTTATGCGGTAGCAGCAGTGCATCTGCGTCTTCCTCTGTGAAAGTAATATCGTCCTCAGCAACTTCCGGAGTATTTTACTGTGGGTTATCGACACCTTTGTCTTTTTTGCTGCCGAAAATGTCACAGCATTACTCTCGTTACCCCAAAAATTATGTTGATCGTCAAACGTGGAGGATCTTCTCCTGCTTTCGAAGGTTCCGCTTTATCGCGATTGTGGCCGTAATTATTTTTAGCTCGTTCACTCAATAATTCTCTAAGATGGTTGTTTTTCAGCAATGTCGCCACCTCTTCACGCAGATGCTGGTAGTCCCCAATCCGGTGACCGTTGGTCCCATGGAATTCGTACCACAAATTAGGATCCCTTTGGCTGGGATCAAATCTCATTGGCTTTGGGAACCGTGCTTTTTTAATGTTCCTCATAGCCAACACCAGCTCCACTACGCTGACGTTAAATTTGTATTCGGAAAGCTTGGGGTAGGAAGAATCTCGAGAACCCGATGTCTCGTTGTTCTGTATTGACCTATTATTCCGGCCGTGGTCAGTTCTCCGATCAGTAGCGAATCTATCTGCCGACCGGAAACCTCTGTTGCGTCCTTCGGTCCGTTCATAGGGCAAAAACCGTCCTCTTGAAGATCGTCGATCTGTGTCGAAATCATCCTTTAATTTCTCTTTATCCTTATCCCGGTCACGGCCTTTGGTTAACGCCGGAAAACCGAGCTGATCATCCTCAATTCTTATCCTTGACTCGTACCAGTTGTGAACATCTTCCCAAATTGTTGCCTTGAACTCGAGCAAACTTTCTTCCAATTCCAGGAAAGCGTCGGAACTTTTCGGATTCAGACCTTTAGTTAATTCTTCAGCTGCCCAATCGTCCGTTACGGCCGCTAGTAGCATCCTTTCCTTCTGGAATTTGGTCACGAATTCCCGCAGCAATTTGGACTCTCTTTGTGTAATCTTGAATATGTTGGCCTTTTGAGCCTGTACCTTCCTAGCCCCGACATGGGCCTTGATCAAGTAGTCCGCGAGCATCTCAAAGAAGTCTATGAAGTGCTCGGGCAAAAGCGAATACCATGTCAGGGATCCTTTCGTAAAGGTCTCCCCGAATTTCTTCAGCAAGACTGACTCAATCTCGTGGGGGGCTAAATCATTCCTCTTCCCCATCTTTGTATAGGTGATGATGTGCTCCTGAGGATCCGAAGTCCCATCATACTTCGGCATGTCCGGCATTTTGAACCGCTTCGGTATCAATTCCGGTGCCGCGCTTGGTTTGAACGGCAACTAACTATACTTCTTTGAATCTGGTCCTTTCAACACTGGTCGAGCACCCGGAATTTGATCCGTTTGGGAATTTATTTCCCTCATAAACCGTATGAGTTTGATTTTAAAGGGACCACTCTCATTGTTGTTACTGGGTCCGCTACCGTTCCCCCCAGCCCCATCGAAGCCCACCTCCCCCCTCGAGGTGTTGTTGTCAACCCTCTGCATTGTTTGATTTGAGGGAGCACGGGGAGGAACTGTACCTCGTCCATTCGCATTGTTGGAAGCACCTGGCAACGCCTGTTTCAACTCCACCATGACCTGATCCTGTCGTGTAAGATGGCCTATAATGGCCTTTTGTTGCTCTCTCAAGATCCTTACTGTTTTAACGACGTGATCATCTTCAGCATCATCAGAAGTCGCCTATCGAACATGTCACAGATATTACCCACCGTGGACTGGCGTGGCCTCGTCCCCCTCGTTGCGGGTATCACTGATCAAATCTTCATGTTGAGGCTGATTTCCTTGGGCCTCAATGTTGTGTGCGATATTGAAACCGTTATCTGCCATTTTCTATGATTTTTGCTAAGAACAAAAAATCAAGCAGTTAGTAATAGATGCAAGGATCAACTCAATTGCACACAGTTGAATTTATACGTGGTTTATAGACAAGTGAATTGATTTGATCCTAAAATGATAAATAAATCAGACAAAAAAGTAAGAATTAGCCTTGAAGTTAAGGTAAAACAGCAGAAATCCTGGTTCCCGGAGCAGAGCTTCTGGAGGCAGTAATGACAATATGAATTAGTAAGAAAGTAAAATGTTATTGAGCTTTAGATAGAATATTATGTATGCTTTTTAGAAAATTCGTGTCCCTTACAGTGGTTGGAGATCTCACTATTTATAGCTGCATCTAGGGAACAAGGTCCTAGGATCAAGCCCCTCTTAAATGACAATTATGAGAGCCATTGAAGAATGTGTAATGGTAGGCAGTGAATGTCATATTCTCTGTAACGGGCCGTGCACTTAATGCTATAGAATATTCTTCATTAAATACTACCGGGTGGTAGGTGTTTAATTCGCCTTTAAGAATACCATTCTCTTCGAGATCGTTATCTTTGGACCCGACTGTGTTCTGTCTTCGGCTCTACGTGTCGCTTTCTCATGCGATCATTAAATATGAACATATTTTACGCTATACAAGCGTCTGTTCTAGCTTTATGCAGTGCCCAAACACTTCATATATTCTTGCTCCCTTCGCTGCTTGTTCTGTCAAACATAAGTGGGGGCGTCAAAGCAGAGATCAGTCGGCTGGCAAACTCTTGCCCGGGAACCATTAATAATTATACAGAAGCAAGCAAATTTCAGTCAAATCTTAATCGCTTGCTGTACAAATCGATCACTATACAATTAGGAATGGCAATTGTGACGGTGCAGGTGCAGGGCGGTACGGGTTTAAACCTATGCGGGACGTGGCGGGTTTATATTTATGCGGGGCGGATTAAAATAATCCTTTTTAAAATTCATCGCGGGGCGGGGCGGGTTGTGGGATTGTGGATGAAGCTGTTGCGGTTTAGTGGATTAAGCTACTGCGGGTTGCGGATTTGTGATGAAATACAAAGTGTGATGCCAGTGGTTCATCTTAATGCTTTTGAATCTGAGGATCGGCTTGCGCATGACTTTAATATAATTTTTTTTTTCCAGATTGATAAAGTTTAATATACCAAGCAAATTTTGGATTAAAATAACAGAAATTACAACCAGAAGAATCAATTACTAAATTTCAACTTCTTCCTTATTCACTCAGTTATTCATTCCTTTTGGCACTATTCATTTGTAGAATTCAAAGTAACTGCTACTTGAATTTTCTTAAATTCATACCATTAATACCAGATTTCTTTACTCTTTTAATTGGGAAAGTGGTAGGGGTACTTTTCATTTTACTTCTACTGGTTCTTTAATATTTTCTACTTTAATATCAAGAGTTTGGAGTTTAGATAGTTTGAATTTTTCTTTTTTTCAAAGATAGCCAGAAAATGAATGAACAATATTCAAGAACAGTCATTAATTGAATTAGATACTATGTACAAGCAAAAAGCAAATAAATTTAAATTAAGTTTCTATTTACATTTAAACCTATAAATATGCGAATAACAAAGTAGAGAAAAAGAGGGAAAAATATTATGCGGGGCGGTTTGATACGGAGGAGGCGGGATGGTTTGAATATACTGGAAAATACTATGCGGGGCGGATTGAAATTTTTTTTGCGGGTTAAGCCAAACTCTGAGACTGATCATCTCAGGCAATTGAACGCTACATGCATAAAGGACACGAATACCCATACGAATAGCAAGAGAAAAATTCAAGAGAAATATACAAAGCTATTTAGTATAACGTCCTATATATTGAACAAGAAATGAACTATCTACGAGTTCTTTATACAGCTTGAGGGAAAAAAACTTCATTGGACCCATTAATAGGACACCTGGTAATCAGTTAGGAGGATTCTTACTTCTTTCTCATAGTGCCATCATTTTCCACTACCCGGTAAACAAGAAATGAACTACAACTACTTCCTCAGTTTCAATTTATGTTGCAATATTTAATTAATTGAGCACCAAAATTTAAGAAGAAAAAAACTTTTTATTTTGTAGCCTAAAATATATCATAAATAGTTTAACGGTTTTGAGTCATTACTTTAAGGTAAAATTGAAAATTGAAAATTTTGTTATTTTCTAATATATTAATATGAGTATTTTTTTTCTTTAAAATAGACAATAAAAGAAAAGTCAACCTCATAAAATAAAATAGGATAATAGAACGAAACTTCCTGGTGAGATACACATTCCTATTTACTTGGTAGTTGGTATTTGAAGTGTGTGATAGTCACATATAAAAGTTTAAATTGTTTGAAAAAGTACATATTATTTTTTGGTATTTGAAGTGTGTGATAATCACATAGGAGTATTATTATTTTGTTTCGCATTATTAGTAACGACTATACAGAAGGAAGCAAATTTCAGTTTAATCTTGGCCGTTTGTTATACAGATCACTATACAATAATGGTGGCAATTCCATCTATGCAAATCGCAGTGAAGGAGAAGACCCTGATAAAGTTCATGGAGTATTCCTTTGTAGAGGAGACGTTGCACCTGAAGTTTGCCAAAGATGTATAGACGTGGCAACTGAGCGGATATTGCGCGAATGTCCTCACACGAGAGATGCAATCATATGGTATGATGAGTGTTTGATCCGCTATTCTAATGTATCTTTCGTCTCCGCCCTGGACTACTCAGGTGGTAGCTTTTTGTATAACGCAGGAAACGTTTCGCGGCCAAAACAATTTAAGCGGATTTTGGGTTCAATGTTTGATAACCTTACCTTTCAAGCTACTTCAGTCAATCCCAACCTTAAATATGCTGCAAATTCTGATGAATTTGAATCGTTTCAGACGTTGTATGGCATGGTGCAGTGTCTACCTGATTTGTCAGCTGTAGATTGCCGCGCTTGCCTTAGTACTGCTCTTTCTGCAATCGGTACTCTACTCTCTGACGCCAGAGTACCACGCGGATGCAGGGTTCTATATGCAAGCTGCAATTTAAGGTATGAGCTATATCAGTTCTTAAATCCTGGTGGACGGCGTCCGGGAGCGCCACAGCCATCGACCAGCCAGGGTAACGAGAATAAAGGTAAGTATAAGATCTTCTCTTCTACTTGATAAGTTGCACGCAGTAAATTTTATTTCCAGAGGTTGGTTGTGAAGCAAAATAGAGGGCTCTCACGGGGGTGTAGTCCACGGCTTTAGCCTTAAGTTAGGTTGGGCTGTAGTTCTTGTATTGGGCGAACCCAAGCTTTAAATAGCGCCGTTTAGTGGCGTGCAGGGAGTAGTCGTCTTGTTGCTGGTAGGTGCGACTATGTGAGTTGACAACAATACACCGCGGTATGTGTGAGTCAAGATTTTACTTAGTGATCCGAAGGAGTAATTTGAATTACTGCAGACTGGTTTCCTCCCATATACCCCCGCTGATGCGTATTTCCTACCATTGAAGAAAATAGAGAAAACTGCTAATCCCACCCACGTCGTAAACGGATGCCCTACCTGATCCATTTCAAATCCAGCCGGAGGTCTTCGAGCCTTGTTACGGACTAAAGTCCTAAAGAAAAGCGACCCCAATCCCTCCCCAGCCCAGGTCAAAGGTCTTCCAAATTTCCTAAGAAAAGAAAGCAATTTCCCAGAGAACCTATATGGAGGCACCTATTTTCCTTGGCTTTCACATTAAACTAATGGCTTCAAATTCATATAAAAAAGCTTTACAATCCTAATCATATTATACTACATTTGGTCCATTTTAAATGTCTTAAGGCTTTGACACACAGAAAATAAGAAAATCATTTACTAATAACATTAATCATTAAAAGGTTACTTGACTAAACTACGCTTTGTCGCCCCTCAAAGTGAAGGGCAATTGTCACGTTACTTGCAGAATTGAAATGTCACAAAAGAATGAAGAATATGGCTCTTGGCTGGAGAGTGCAGGTTAATTTGACATAAATGTCGATAATGTTCTCTAAATTTAGCTGTTTGACAATGAGTTGCATATTCTCTTCACCATTTCACAAAATTGTACTAAAAAGTCCGAGTTGTTATTCACGTATTCAGAGGGGCTAGAGCAATTTACCATTGCATGTGACAAAACTGGCGTCACAAACTCAAGGAAATAGCAGAATGTGATTCTAATTTTGAGTTTTCCCCAATTATCTGAAAGAGGGGATAGTTCTTCTGAGTAGACATATATTTCTATTTTCTACTAAAAGTCTACAACTCCGATTACTGTTTTCGTGTTGACATACAAATAGCATCCTAGAACTGCTTGTTACTCTCGGACACCACTGTTATATAATCTGAGTTTGAAGATTGTCTTAAACAATGGACTCTTCTGTATCTCAAGTTTGTTGTACTAAATAAGTGATGGTCTTTGTTTAATTATCAAGGCATTCTACTAACAAGGTAACAGCTGATTTCAGCATTGAATTTACCAACTATTTTCTGTTTTCAGGTGGAAATACCTCGAAGACAAAGCTTATTAGTATCATCATTGGTGTTATAGCACTGTTGGCTGTTGTACTAGCAGGAACTAGTTTTTACCTTGTGAAAAGAAGACGACGAATAGCTAAAGGTAAAAGGTTATTGGTGTTTTGGATTTAAAAGAAAGTAATTCTTTCAGCTAACGGATCAAAAGTTGAATCTTTTCAGATGGGGACGGAAGTAGTCAAGAAACTCAATTGCTCAACATGATAGAAGAAACACTTGCTGAAGACTTTTCGAATGATGATTTTCGCTCAGAAGCGAGGTCCATAGAGTTTCCAGTTGTAAAACTAGACCTCATTAGAGCAGCTACAGAAAATTTTTCTGAAGAACACAAACTCGGAGAAGGTGGATTTGGTCCAATGTACAAGGTAACAGTTGCTATAAATTATCATATTTTAAAACATATTATCTTAATATAGTGAATCTAGTTGCTAGAGGGGGGCAATTTACCCAGTCATTTGATGTTGTGTATAACATTCCAGGGAACACTAGCCAATGGCATAGCAATTGCGATCAAGAGGCTCTCCAGAACATCTGGTCAAGGGCTGAAAGAGTTCAAGAATGAAGTCGTCTTAATCGCCAAATTACAGCACAGAAATCTCGTGAGGCTCTTGGGTTGCTGCATAGAGAGAAATGAAGCATTGCTTATCTATGAGTTCATGCCCAACAAAAGCTTGGACTTCTTCCTCTTCGGTTTGTCCTTTCCTTATTTGGCCAATCAGTGTACCGCGAAGCAGCAATTGTTCACTAACTTCATTCTTTACTTTGTTTTTCTAGATTCAAGAGAAAGCGAGATTCTGGATTGGAGACAGCGTCTCCACATTATCAAGGGAATAGCCAGGGGTGTTCTTTATCTGCACGAGGATTCTCGACTGAGAATCATTCATAGGGACCTAAAAGCTAGCAACGTTTTACTGGACAAAGATATGAACCCGAAGATATCAGACTTTGGAATGGCAAAGATGTTTAGCGGAAATCAATGTGAAGCCAATACAAATAGAGTTGTTGGAACCTAGTAAGACTCTGATTCAAGCTCTGTACTTGTCATCACTCTTGAGTTTTTCTTCTATCAAAAATTCGAAATTTACATTGTTTGATATATTTTTAGAACATAAAAGATGTGCCATCTTGTGCCTTTAAGTCCTACGATCAGAATATCTCAACATGCAGAGCTCAAAGAGGAAGAACTAGCCTGCACATGAGGAGTACGTTGAATACAAATTAAATAAATAAACGAACATGTGCTCTTTATCTAAAACACGCTTTTAGATGAAGTGCTAACATAATTTAAACATATTTGATATTTGAAATTACAAGCTAGATAACTGGAGATGATGCTATAATCTGTTGGTATTGTGTAAAACGACATCATGCTATAAGATTGATGTAAACGACATCATGCTACAATATTTACTTCTATCTGCCAATTTTACAGTGGATATATGGCCCCTGAGTATGCAATGGAAGGACTCTTTTCTACTAAATCAGACGTTTTCAGCTTTGGAGTTCTGGTGCTTGAGATAATAAGTGGGAGGAAGAACACTGGCTATATTTCCGAACATGGGCAGAGCCTCCTTAATTTTGTAAGTGTATTTCTCTCCATTTTATGTTTTGAAGTCAGCTAGTTTTTTGTTGTGTCAATTTCAACTTGCATAAATCATCCTGAGACCATCTTGAAAAAATATAGGCATGGAAATTGTGGTGGGAAGGGCAAGGATTAGAGCTTATGTACCCTCGCTTATCGCAGTCCTGTGTGGCAGCTGAGATAATAAAATGCATCCATATCGGGTTGCTCTGCGTTCAACAAGATCCAGCAGATAGACCTACCATGTCCGCTGTAGTTTTTATGCTGGAAAATGACCCTCAAACGCTTCCACAACCATCGCAGCCTGCATTTTCTATTGGGCGAATTGTCGTGAGATCAGCTGAGCCTCGATCTAATAATCAATTGTGCTCCAATAACGAGGTCACTTTGTCAATTCTATCACCCAGATAATGTTTGAATCTATTGCTGTAGTAAGTATTCTGACTATAGTATAGACTGTCAATTCTTCCACAAGGACTTGTTCCATTCACAGTAAGTTGATGCAGAGATTATCATACAGAACTTACAATTCCAAGATATATAATTACCGTATTATTAAGTGCATGTACATTTCCTCGTGGATGTTTTGGTTCATACTACTAAGAAGGGATATACGTATGTATAATCTAAAACATTACTTTTGGTTTTAAACTGTATAAACTTTTTCCCGCTGCAACGTTAGAAATGCCCAGGGGTACTGTCATTTGGACTTTTATCCACATATAGCTAATTTTTGTATTGTGCAAGTAGGGTAAAAGCAAAGCTTGTGGTGGAGAAATAAGTACTCCGCTACCCATGATCAAATGTCTCTGGTGTGAGTCCTGAAAATAGAGTTGCCTTTGATTGGGAGCGTGTTATCCCCAATGTAAAATATTTAGGCACGAATCTGGATTAAGTGGTACCAAATATTGGATTTCCATCGAGGAAAAAAAGTTGTGAACGCATGCCAAAGGAAGAGAAAGAGTTTAAAAATTATATTTATTGTGCGTAGGAATAATTCAGAAAAGAGGTTGTTACCTCACTTTCAGTAATCTGAGAAGTACTATTTGATTTGGTCAAAATACATAAAGACCCTATTAACTTGTTCAAAAAATAGGTTTGAACACTTAAATTAAACGGGTGTTCTTTTACCCCTAAACGTATTTGGAGTGAATTATTCCCCCTGAAACACTAATACGAGATGTTTTACACACGCGTGCCACGTCAAAACCACGTCAGAAATCTTTTAACTTTCCTTTTTTCTTTTTCTTTTTCTTACTCATAGTTTTACACTAATAATCCTAATTAACCATTAAAATGCTTGCAAAAGGGAAAACTAATACCAGATAGAAAATTGCACAAAAAAGAAGACTTGTATTAGGAAAACAAGAAAAAATCAGATCGTCGGAGACCCGGTGGGCACTGATAGCTTCAGATTCGACCAAAACAACACCCAAACCAACACCCCAAACCACTCAAAACAACCAATATTCGCTACCTGACTAATTCAGAATGACACCTTCAGCCAAAAATTTTAACGGAACCAACAATTTCATTCATTCACACCATTATTGCTATGATCGAAGGTTTCTAATTTGAACCAGTGGACTTGAATTTAAGCCTAAGATTCTATGTTTGGGCAGTTGGTTGGTGGATTCATGATAGTATTTCGAATTTGGGGCGATAAACAGTTTTTTCGGCGCTGGTGACTAACTGTAGCAAGTAGGAAAAAAAAAAGAAAAAAGAAGAAAGAGAATGAAATAATATCTGAAGAAGAAAGGGGGAAGGAGGAGAAAGAAGGCGTGGTTGAAGCGATCCGAAGAGGAGAAAAGAAAGGGGCTCACCTTTTTATATTTTCCATTATGTACGCGCTTAATTATTTTTTTGCCACAGCAGTTATAGGGTGGAATAAAATTCACTCCAAATACGTTTAGGGGGTAAAATAATACCCGTTTAGTTTAAATGTTCAAACCTATTTTTTGGACAAGTTTAATGGGTCTTTATATATTTTGCCTTTGATTTGTAAGCATTTCGTCTTCTGTTAGTAGAGACACTAAGATACGGCCTATGATATCTTTCAAGAAACATGTCTTTTGCAATCAAAGAGTCACACAAAAATGTAAAAACGTTTATAATGCTCGTTGAAAAATCATACCACAGTGAGGCAACATGTTTGCTTGCAATCGATGAGTAACAAGTAAGAAGATGGATTGGCCATTATTCAGGCTCTTGCCTCGACTATCTTGTCTGGTCTTTATATTCATGTTCAACTTTCCCATTTTGTGAGTGGTACTTTGAAAGCTAAATTTCTTAGGCCTCCTCCATGGAATGGAGATCAGCTTGTAAATTGAGGTCCAAAGATGCCCCAAATAGTCTAGTCTTTTAACATGCTAAAGATGGTTTCTTCTGTCAAGTATGGATGAAGCTGCTGATCTCTTGGCCCATGTTCTTCTGATATTTAAAACAAGGAAATTACACATAATGACCTTGGAAATGGATGCTCTTGATTTTTTGATGCCCGCTTGCGCCATACACTACTAGAAATCCGGTAATTAGTGATCCAAAAAAGCGACCAACGTTGGTCGGTTTTGGCAAATTACCGACCAAAACTCGTCCAAACACGCTTGGTCGCTATTTTGGTGGTCGTTTTAGTATACCGACCAAGGTTGGTCGCTAATTATCGACCAAGGTTGGTTGCAAAGGTAAAGGGACCAACTGTGCAATTTAAAGCACACACCGACCAACTTTGGTCGGTAACATATTTTAATAATTTAATTTTACCGACCAAAGTTGGTCGGTATATTTAAATTACATTATTTTATTAATTATTAAAATTTAAAAATTAGCGACCAAATTTGGTCGGTAAAGTAAATATAAATTTTTTTTTAAAAAATTAAAATTTAACCATACCAATCAAAGTTGGTCGGTAAAGTTGAAATCTGGATAATCCCTGTTCATTAACCGACCAACTTTGGTCAGTAATTTTTATTTTATTTTTTTAAAACTTAAGCGACCAACCTTGGTTGCTAATCAGAAGATTTTTTTTTTTAATTAGGAACCGACCAACTTTGGTTGGTTTTCTAGGTTTTAATTTTGGCATAAAATGCTTGTTTTGGCAGCTACACCACCTGCCAGCATACCAAAATCCCTAAACAACAACAACAACACAATTCAATAAATACATTAAAGTTCAATAGAACTTAAAAATCCAAAATCAAGTTAAAACTTATTACAACTAGTTCAAAATCGATTCTATTTGTTTAGTTCAAAGTATATAAAAGTCAAGGAGTATTTTGTACAACATCATCATCACCGTCTGATGAACTTTCATCTAAAAGACGGTGTCGAGAAGGGTCTTGTGGAGGACGGGAAGAACGACCACGGGGAGGATGGGAGGAACGATCACGGGGAGGACGGGAGGAACGATCACGGGGAGCACGGAAGGAACACTCACGTTCAAGTCGAGCCCCTGTCGATGACTCACGAGACCGAGGCAACGGAAAAGCTCCAGTAGATAGGAAAGTTCTGATCTGAGCTTGCATGCCAAGGAACTGAGCATCTCTAATCCTTTCTCTTTCCTTGGCCGCTTCTAGCTCGGATGTGAGCTTTGTCACAGTCTCTCGCATAGCAGAGAGGCTCTCCCCATCAAGTTGCTCGCCTTGCGAGGAAGTCCTTATGCCTTGCATTCCACACTTATAGCGATGGAGTTTCTTAGTAGGAAGCTCGTATACCTTCCCCCATTTTGGACCGCCAGCAGACTCCATCCATATTCTTTTAGCATCCTCATCCGAAGGTTGGGTTGGCTCGCCCGATTCACCAGCTGGCTGAGTGCGGATGAATTCCTCCATGTAGTTTGGTAGCACCGTATTACGAAAATTTAAATTGAATGAGTATTTCAAAATTTATATAAAAGTAAATTAAAATATTTAAAGAAAAGCGAAAGCTTACATATACAGTCGAGGCCCGGTCCTCGACCAACCTTTCTTGATCCGTCTCTTTCTTCTTCTTTGCAATATGTGTCTCCTTGAATAGCTCATCATGGTTCATTGGATGCCCCAACTTCTTTTCCTGAAAACAAATTAATTTAGTTAATAAATAGAATAGATTTACTTTGAAAATTAAAATATTTTAAGCAATTACGTACCAATCTTCTTTTTATTGTCCCTAGGCTGATCGCACCTCCAGTGTGCAAGGAGCCTCCCTTCTCAGATGCGCGAGCTTTCTTTCCTTTTTCCCTCTTCTCAAAGAACTTTGCTCTAAGCCATTGCCTTTGCAAATCATCCCATAAATTTTGGAAGTAACCAGTCAGGCTTCTTGTTCTTCTTTCTAGCTTCGGTGAAAGTATGCAACAATCGCTTGCGAGCTTTGTGATGGAAATTTGCAGCCACTTTCGCGCTATAACGGTGTTCCCATACACACTTGCTCTGTATTTCAAAAGTTAAATATTATATGAAAATATCATAAATATATATTATTAAACTGCTTAAAAGAACATTTATACCTTAAATTGATTGAAAATTTGCTCCTTCAGCGAGAATGGAAAATCAGTCCAAGTCGCATAAGGGCCATCATAAATCTTTCTGATGGCTTTGGTGATTATCCTTGTAGTCTTATTACTTGGGATGAACCTGCAATTTAACAATAAAAATATATTAATATCTTAGTAAAAACTTTACAAAACAATAAACACAAAAATAACAAATAACTCTTACCCATCACCCTCAGGGACTATAATGATCCTGCCATAACAATCATAATGCACCTCCTCGTCATCATCAGCATCATCATCCGAAGCATGTATATCAGAGGCATGTGTGGACGGTGTAGGGGGGTCAGAGCTACTACCTTGCAGGCGAAGGCTTGAAATAGATGGAGACGATGATGAAGATGGTTGCGATCCCTGTGACTGCGACATAGCTGGATAGACCCCAAGTGGATCTGATACTGATGGCTATGATCCATGTGGCTGTGACATGGATGGATGCGATCCATGCGATGTAGATGGATGCGATCCACATGGTTGTGAGGCAGCTGGACTGTTAGTCGGACGTATAGTCCTATGGCTCTGTGATGAAAGACCTGGTGTCTGCACGAAGGTGTAGGGCTCGTGATGCTGTGGCAGCTCTAAAGAGGGTGGAGCAGATGGAGTATTATTTTCTACCCTCCTCTTTCCCTTTCTAGCCTTTTCTCGACCCCGAGAACCAGTAGGATCATTGTTACCTTGACCCTTGCCTGCCATCTGCACAATATAATACATATTTAGATTGAAACATATAAGAAACTAGCTATAAAACGAGAGTTATTTAAAAAATCAACTTTTTAAAGCTCATCGACGTATTGTTCCTCGTCCGGGAATTCTTCGTCCTCACTTGTTTGAGCTTCATCAGTTGATTCTTCGTCCTCATTTTCTATAATTGTTACTTCATTTATATCAACTTCTTTTAATATGTGTTTAAGATGAAGCTTAACTACCTCCGATTTTTCAAACTTCATATAGTCACACCTGATACAAGGGCACCTAGTTACCCCTTCACTTTGGTGTGGTGGAAGTGACATTGCATATCTAAGAAAGTCATCAACTCCTTCTACAAAATCCTCCCGCAATCCCCGACGATTAGGATAATTCCTATTGTACACCCAATTAC